TACTCGCCCCCTTCACACAATGCTGTCCTGTACTTCAGGGGTACCTTATTACAGTCTGTTACAAGACACTATGTAAAGATCTGATCATGTTATTCTACGGCTTAGAAGTCTGCAGTGGCTCCCTCTCACCTGCAGGGTAAAGGTCACCTCCTTTGCGAGGCACCCGAGACTTCCCAAGATCTGGTGCCACTCTAACTCCCGGGCTCATCTCCTGCCTATCTTGGACTTGACAACCTGACCATCCTTGGCAACAAGGGAACTCCTGACAGACTCCAGAATGTTTCATGTTTGTATGACTATGCATTTATTTGCCTTTCTTCTAAGCATATCTGAAGGGAAAGTCCTATTTTAAGACATATACTTTCTCTTTTATAAACCCACCCTGTAAAAACAAGCAACCATCACAAAAATCAATTATGTGAAATTATTTAACACTCTGGTAAAAAAGGAAGCGAAGTTTCTTATCTCATCTCAGTTTAAGGACTGCTTCCACGAACACCACCTCTGGGTAAGTGCACGAGGGTGCCTGCCGTGACTGCCCTGGCAGGTCCCAGTCAGCACAGAGAACAGGCACTCTACAGCGCGCTCCCTCACAGCTTCTCCTGCACTTCTGATGCCAAAGCGTTTACAGTCTGTAAGTCAAAGGGAGAGAAAAGGCAGCCTCATTTCAAAACGAAGAGACAACCTTTCCCGCTGAAGGCTTACCCTCTGCTTTCTCGGCTACAAGTAACGCATCTGCTGTCAGCAGCCGCCGACTCCCACGGGGTCCTGGAGCCTGGGCACACAGGGGCAGAGCCACTGCTGAGGACGCGTGGCTTCACTCGACTGGAACGTCTAGCCCTGAGGACCTGATCCAAGCACGTGGGTCATACAAAGCTGTCAGGACTTCACCCACAGACAGATGATGAGAGCAACACTACTGGTTTTCTAACATATTTTCCTGGTGTGACTTAATTAAAATTTTAGTCACGGCAAAAGGGCAGGTGAAGAAGATTAAATTCCGGCAAGTAACTTCTCCTACTCCACACCCAATCAGACGGCAGAGCTGAGTGACAGCCTTCAGAACCCTCCTCAGCTATATTATATACCAAGAAGGCCTTTCGATGACCTCCTTGCTAGAACTTCCCCATGTCTGGCAAGGGGAACACGAAAGCCCGCTGGTTGAGGCTCCTCTGCACGAATGCACGTGGTACGGCGACAAACACATCACGCCAAACTGAGGATCCAGCACCCACCCTGGGCTCTCAGAAACAACTGTCAATCATTTCACAATGAAACGGACTGGCGTGTTTGCTCACAGCATGGATTTCTAGGTAAAAGGAGACCAAATACAACCAGATATATTGGAAGAGTTAATAAAATACACGCAACAGACTTAAAGAGACTTCATCTTAAGGCTGAAAGACTAGGATTTCTCACTGAGGTGTTTGCCCAAAGTATAGCCCAGTGTCACAACTGTGAATGAAGGACTATTTCTCTCTTGCTGGCAGCAATTTTTAAGAAGTTGAATATAATTTCCCAGTGTTGGGAGATATTTGTGACTGATCTAATCTGAAGCTTCTCCAGTTCTGACTGTCATTAGCACAGGGTATCTTTGCCTTGGAAGGCAAAGTAGTTACAAAGAGAGGCAAGATCATCGGAAGATGACTCTGGGATTGTAATTACGTTTAGAATAACAGATAAAATGAGGAGGGGGGGTGAGGATAGTTAAAACGATAGTCATAAAGTCACAGACACTACCTCTTTTGCAGGACTTAGGAACTACGGGAACACAGCACTCAACCTGGGCTTCATAAAAGCCTCTCTTGTCTTTTTCCAAAGGGATGGTGAAAATAGCAATCCGAGTTTTCCCTCGGCTTCTATGCCATCTACATTCTAGTGGGTGGTCTGCGCTCAGAAGCAGGCGGACAGCGGGGTCAGGGGCAGCCGCATCTTGCCTTGCTAGTGAGCACCTTTGTGCAGAGACGGACGCTGAGGGCGTCGGGACAGACCTCCTGACAGCAGGCTTCCGGGCGTCGAGCTCGTGCGTTCTGACAGACATGGGGCCCCTGCAGTCTCCATCCTTGCCGCAGACAGAGATGAATGGTAGGAGAAGGTGCCCGCCTGGGAAGACGCTCATCAATCCAGACAACAAAGAATGGAAAACTTAACCTGATGACCAACCTTCAAAGTTATCCCCACAAGCGCTAAATCTACAGTCTTGTTCCCCCAGCAAGCTCATGGAGCTAGGACTCAAATATGGTTGTACATCATTCTTAAAGCATTTTAAATCTGCAGGACAATAAAGCCAGACACTAGATATGTTTGCTCCTGATCTCTAATCTTAGATATGCCTGATTTTGGTCAAGCTTCAGTATCCTTACTTTAAAAAAACCACACTGGGCCCTTGGCTAAGAGGAGAGACTGCCTTGGGCCCGCCGGTGTAATAAACTGCACTCCACTATCAAAAAATTTAAAAAAATTTGAAAAAATTTAAAAACCACACTGAAAGGAACAACTATCTCAAAGGGTTATTATAACGAGTAAACTAGATTTTTAAATATACAATGTTGTGTCTGTTATTAATTAGTGTACATGAAAAATATGGTAGCTGATCCCTTTCATTCGATGGAAGATTAAAGAGAACCAAAACAGAAGGGATGTGGGTAATGGCTCCCTTTGTTTTCTGAGGCCACTATACACCTGGATGGGACAAGCTGGAGAAAGGCAAAATGATCTCCGACTCCGCAAACGGAAGGAGAGAGCAGAGGCCATCCTGGAGGGGCAGAGGCAGGAATGCACTGTGCTGGGAAGGCGAGGAAGCCCAGCAGAGCAGGGTCTCTTAACGGTACTCTAAGTGTCAGGAGGATCCCAGGCCACATCTAACTTACCTGCATCTCTGTACTTGAAGGAACTATAAATTACAAGTGCACAGCCTGTAACTTCCCTTCTGGTTGAGGAAAAGGATTGGGGAAAGAAATTAAAAGGAGCTGGTACAGTCCCTAAATTTCTCACTTTGTCTCCTCTCAGAGCCCCTCGAAACTAACAGAGGGGCAACCACACGCAGACCTCGGTGTACAGCAGGGGGAGGAGGGCAGGGGAGAGACCCCGAGGGGAAAAACCACGGCTCAGTCAGTGCATGAAAGGTGAAGAAGGCGAAGTAAATCCAGGTCGCGCTGAAGCCGGGGGCGGCGAGCACAGGTGGGCCGTGGGGAGCACAGAGAGGAGGCAGTCTGACACAGGGAAACGGAGGGGAGGAAGGGGAGAGGGAGGCGGTGGGAACCGAAGAAAGAGAAGGTAAGACGAGAACAGAACATTTTAAACTAACCCAGAACTCCATTGTGAAGGACAAGTCACGAGGCAAGATACAGCTCAAAGGCACGAGCCCCACGTTTCACCACGGCGAAGAGAGAACAGCCTTCCACACACGCGTGCAGAGGGGGCTCTGCAGTCTGCACTGACTCCAGGGCTCCGCGGGACCACTGAGGCTTCCCAGCAGCCCTGAGTCCCGGCAGCTTTGGCACTGTACACTGAGACTGCGGCGCGGAATAGCCCCAGGGGCTGTAAAAACAATCATTTCGGCAAGGGACCAGATCTCCCTACAGGGGTCTGCCTGGCTAAAGCCGGACTGGAGACTCTCCCTTCACTGCAGGGCCCACAGCCACCCTCCCCCAGCAGGGACTGAAGGCAGGAGGACGCGCAGGGAGTCCCAGAGCAGCGGGGCCCTTCTCCCCCTCCAGCCCTCCTCCATTTGCCACAGCACAGCTGTTTCAGGGCATCCTTGCATTTCCTGCACATTTCCATCTTCCTCAGACAAATGAACCTCCCACTGAGTGTTTCTTCTGCCTCTAAGTACACAGTTGTTTGCATGTTAAGGACTGAATCAGGAGGGCAAATGGCTACGATGGGTGTCCCCATCTTCTTGGTCCTCAGAAGCAAAGATATTTCTCAAACGCCTTAAAGCTCCACTGCAAGATGGCTCCTGGGGAACTATCCATTCAGCTCACGAAAGAAGGCGGAAGGGAAGCAGGAACTCTTAAGATCTCAGACTTGACCAGGCCATGTCAAGATGAACAGGAAGAAAAAGGAAGATGACTGACAGGTTGTCCTACTCCAGTACTGGCAGCAAGAGAGACGGGGCGAGGGGGGGGGGTGGGAAATGCTCAACCATCCTTCTCTCTTTCGTATTTTGCATGTTTTGAGAAAATCAAAATGTAGGAATCAAAGCAAGAGCCAAATGTCCAATTTGAGACAAGCCAAGAAAACTCAGTTTCAGGCCGGAAAGAAACACAAGAGGTGGCTAGAAAGGTCAGGCGTGGCAGCTGAGAGGTTGTAAAACCCGGCAGTCACACTGAGGAGCTTGACCCCACGGCCCGGGGCTGACGCTGCTCCTTCAGTCCAACCCTATAATCCAGCTGACCACTAGAAGAGGCTAGAAGACGGAGGAAACACCTCTCAACCCCCATAGTAATCTGACAGGCCATCTCCAAGGATCCTGACTGGGGGTGGGGGGAGACTGAGGAGGCTGAGAGGCAAGGGACCAGGATCTTAGAGAAGCAGTGTGATCGAGGCTGTAAGAGAATTCTGTCTCCTAGGGAAATTCAAGTCTTTTATTTTTAATCTCTATATCCACTTTTTCTTAAAGAGAAAAAAACACCAACCCTCCTGCCTCCTGGATGGTGTGAAGACAGTCCACATGAAGCATTTCCACAGTGAATGTTCACCCAAAAGGGAAGTAAAAATGTCGCCTGAAGGACAGCGGTCCTCTCCTCCCAGCCTGGCCTGGGCCCGCTGGGCCATCTCTTCCACCAGGCGCCAGGGAATCAGCAGTGCGTCAGCCAGAGGTGGGGCGTGCCCTGGGCATTTTAGCCCTCTGTCCCTCACCCCATGCCACTGCTCATAAGTAATAACTTAGGGGTCTGAAGCCAGAATGTCAACCACTGTTGCTCAGACAGTGGCTAACCTGGAAGTACTCATGACTTGGGAGGAGCAGGGAGAAAGCAAGCTGAACAGATACTTACTCAAAGTCCTCAAACTCCAAGTCGGCTCCCTCCACGGATGGACCCTGGTTGTCTGAGGAAGAGGAGGAGGTGGAAGAACGGAGGCGGTTCTGTTGGTAGCGCATGGAACGCTGGCGGATACTGTCTCTCCGGGACAGGTACTGGATCATTCTCTGGGCATAGTATGCAGCAGGAGATAACCTGAGAGAGACAGAGAGGAACAAACACAAACTAGCACTAATGTGGGGAATACTGGGAAAGACAGTAAATCCAGCTCTCCCATCACATCTCCCTGCCGAGGCGAGCTCCGGAGACATGAAAAATAAAGGCCATTTAACTCACCAGGAGGTTTGTGCTGTGCAACGTGCTTATCAGACTGCCTGATCTCGGAATAGAAATACTGGTGGTTAAAGAGGCTGTTTAATCAGTCATCATCTGATCAACAGCTGCCCCCTCCCACGAGTTTAACACTGGACTTTTCTCTTTTAGTTTCTCAAGGGACCTCTTTTAAACTTCTCAGGGTGCCCTTTATAAAGATTTGTAGCTTTCCCCTAATCGTCCATACTCAAAATATAAGACATGGAAGGGGCCGCAGCTTCTTTCACTTTCCAGATGAGAAAATAGGCTGAAAGATGGTGAACCCAGGATGACTGAAGAAGGCATCTTCAGGCATCACCTTCACCAGGACTCCTTTCTTCTCCAACAAGTATCTACAGTTCCAGAACTGTCCTAGTTCCTTAAGATTATCTCTTTGAATTTCTAATTTCTCCTTTACAGATTATCCAGGTATTTTAACACAGAGAAGATATTCAGGATAGAGACAGAGCACAATATACTCAGAAGAAACAGAAAATCTGAAAGATTTGTCTATTACTTAAAACAGAGCATCAGAGGCTACATGGGCATTGAACAACACAGAAGACAACAGTCACTCTTCTCCCTTACAATGGCTGCTCTCATAAGCAATTAATCTAGACAGACCTGTATTCTGACTATGGTTCAGTATCTTCACACTCCATGAAAATATCCATGTCCTATACAATTTGCATAGTCCCTTCTTTCTCAAGTTTTTCCTCCATCTTTCACAACACATATAACTTGAGGCTATGAACTGAGAAAGTGAGAGTAGACCAATAACAGAAAAATGCTTTATATATATATTAAGTAGATACTAAGCAATTTCAAGACTTACACTTCGATTCAGCAATTCCATTAGTGATTTTATCCTACAGAAACACACAAGGATATGAAGATAAATATATAAATTGCTGGCACTAGTGAAAAACTAGAAACACCTCTAATGTCCATCAACAGATTAAATAAATTATACCTATACAAAGAAACACTTATGTAACAGTTGAAAAAGTTATCCCTACATATGCACAACAAAAGCCCTCTAAAATAAAAATTTAAGTGGGGGAAAATTAAAGAATGGTATGTATGATGTTTGTGTATATATATTTCTGTAATTAGAACAAAAAATAAAACACAGCAATACTGATGAGGATTCCCAGGGACCTTAACTTCTACAGTGCTTGAATATAAAAGGAAAAAAGCATCTTTTTTTAAAATGGAATTCTGGAAAAATGTTGAGAATGGAAAAAGAAATACTTATATCCAAATGGTAGGAAAAGTACTTAAAAACATCTTGCTGCCTGATCTTTCATTACTCCTGGACAAAGTAAGACTCTTGGGCAAATTCTCAGTAAATCTACTCACTCAGACCAAAGAAGATCCTGCAGTTAACACAAAATAAGGCTGCTTCTGAAATGACTGTCATCACAGGTAGCATCCTTTTGACCAACCATCCAATAGACTTTCCAAGGAGGCCAGGACACAATCTTTGGAACTCAGAAATCTGTGTTATGGAACAATATGCTGCCTTTGGTGCCTCTGATTCCAAATTACCTTTATACACTAGGTGGGCATGGAAGGTACAAAGGCCTTGGCCAAGATCATCGAAGTGTAAGAATGAACATCTCAACTTGTGGGACATTCATTGTCTCTTTGGGCACCTGGTCCCATGCATTTGGCGAGGATGAATCAAGAACCCTAAATTTTCAACAGACAGAAGTCAATACTGTCTCTACCAAATACACAGATATCTTCCAGCAGAAATCAACTGCTGTTGGTTAAATTCTCAAGTTAATCAGACTAGAAAGGAATGAAAAATGGAAGTTTAAAGAAAAAATAAAGTTTTAAGAGGAGAATGAAGATTGATTCTTTCTTTAGAAATGATACTGAGAAGTGACCACAAAAACACTTGTTCCTCAGTTGACAGCCTACCCTAATGGAAAAATCAATATTAAGGTGAGAGAGGTAGAAATAATGTTGATGCTAACTATAATTAAATAAAGACTGCCCTTTTATGTAGGGATAAAAATGCAGCACTAGGTAACCTCAATTCTTTAATTTCACCATCAAACAGGAATTCCCTAAGCTATAAAACTATGCATCAGTGGTAAAGAAAAATGTATTCTTGGCACAATTCTTAAGTAGAAGTATATCCTAGTCTTGTCTTTTTAGGGATCCAAGGGAAGTTAAGGATCTGAATGCTGAGATGTCTCATAAAGGTTTTGACCTATACATATTATGCCAGGTAAGTCTAAGAGGAAAAAGAAATTAAAAAGTCAGGAATGAGGTAACAATCATCCTCCTACTAGAGAGCTTGATAATTATCAAACTCTAAAAGTGTTCCAAGTGAATATTTTAAATAACTCAAGTTTTCTTCAATAAAAAATACTACCCACCTCGGGGAAAAAAAACCCTACTATGTGTTTAAAGGAAAAGTGTAAAAATACAAACACCATAAAGCCTGGCGTTTCTGTGATAAAGACCTGAGTAGGAATAGACTACAAGTTCATTACATGAAAGGAGGACAAGTAATGATCTTTATGAACCACTGTTAAACTTTGTCAGGTTAAAAATTCTGGGGTTGAGCTTCCCATTACTGTCCTAAAAAAACCCAAAACAAAACTGTCTCACAGCAAGAAGTTCTCTGAGTGTTTCAAAGAAATTGATTTATGCAAAACAATTCCTTCTCTTACTGAGGGCTTATTATTTTCAAATATGACTACAGACTAACTTCCTTGTTTCAGTCTTCATCAGAGTTGTCCACCCGTTTTAAAATCATAAATCCCTGGTTCCCTGATCCTTGGATCGGCTATTTGTGGGGTATGGAAAAGGAAGTAATAGGATAATGGGGAATCTTTTCATTAGGGTCTTAGAAAGGATGCTCAGAATCATGACCTAACTCTGGTAACAACAAAATCATTCAATATCCTTGAAATTAACTTGGTCTAAAGGTTCCAATCCTGACTTGAAATTCTTGATCTACAGCAAAGTTCACTTAGCCTTTTCTGACCCACATTGTTACCTCAACCCCACCATTACAAACCACCCTTTTTCTGGCAAAGCTTCACAGTGTATGTTCCGGAGCTGCTTAAAGAATGTGCAGGTTATCCCCCTTTTGGATCATGAACAGAATTATTAAGTCCAGCTGTGACATCGCCAAAGGGCTGCTCACCAGAAATAAATATTATACATCAACTCAACACCCCATCCTTGGTCCTGAGTTACCAGTATAAAGGTGGGCCTTAAACTCATCAAACTTTTTTTTTTAATCTCTTCAAGATCTTTTCAAATGTCTGCTAATTAGTGTAAGGCAAGCTCTTTATTAACTCTTTAATAACTTATTTTACCCAGTTACCCTTTGTCAGTCATCTCTTTCTTCACAGAGTCTCCAAAGAGTCAACATCTGAATGACCTTGATTTCTGCCTTCTGATGTTCTAAATTCTCTCTCAAATGAGGATTTTTTTGGTTTGTTTTTAGTTTGCTAAGTGATTTCCCTATTAATAAAAACTGTCGTTTCCCTTTTGGCTGTCCACCTGAACGGTGACGGCAGAAAAGAAATATCCTATGACTGCCAGGGAGCCCCAAAGGTCAGGGCTTAGTCGTAGCCCTCTGCCACCAGAGGAGCTGTTCACTTACCTGTAACACTCCCCCATCACCTCAACCACCTGTCTCAGAACCGTAACTGAGGAGGCAAAGAGCACCAGGACCAGAGAGGCACGGACCGGGGCGTCCACCAGCTCGGCACCCCCAAGGGCAGCCCCTCCCCCCACCTGGTGCCATTGCTCACTTTAGCCTTACCTCGCTGGGTCTGGGTAAATTGGGTGCTCTCTGGATCCTGCTCCATCATAACGGGATAATGAAATGAGGGAAGACTCCAGCAGCCTCCTAGCAGAGATTAAAAAAATGGCAATAATCCCTGTCAATTACCAACTCAGAGGTCATTCATTAGGAAAAATGGGGGAGAGAGATAAATAACATCCCCCTTTGCGGCTAGCTGACACCTCCTGTCTGGGCTCGCATCCTTCCTACCAGCACTTAGAGGCGTAATGATATGAAGCGCTCCAGAGCGCCCACACTGGATATGGCCACTGTATGATCCTGAATACTGCTCTTCTGTGAGAAATGAACAAGTGCTTTAGAGACACGATCTTATTTTTATTTGCAGTACCTCCAGCAGACAAACAGGAGGTTGGGATCAACATGAGAGAGGAAAAAGAGGCATACCTACAGATTAACATGGAGTGCCAACATTTTATTTTGGTGTTCAGTTCCCCCATGTTATCCTTATCCACATCCCATTATCTTCTAGGCATTCTGCTCTGCCCACACCCTTTGTGTGAGCACCCTCCAGGGCTTTCTTGGTGGTTTAGTCGCTAAGTTGTGTCCAATTCTGATCCCATGGACTCTTAAGTACTCCAGGCTCCTCTGTCCATGGAATTCTCCAGGCAAGAATACTGGAGAGGGCTGCCATTTCCTTCTTAACAACTGATAAAAAAAAAAAAATCTTCAATTATATAATCTAGCCCAGCCATCAGTTCAATGATCATATGTGTTAACTTACTGAGCATTTTTTTAGTGCCAGGCAATACTAAGCACTTCACATGTACTTCATTTAACCTCAGCGCAGCCTGGAAAGGTAAGCATCACTGCACAACAAGGAGATCAACGGGCCAAGGAGTGAAGTGCACTGCACGGCAGCACACCACTATGAGAGAGCACCAGAGCCCTAGGGAAGGCCTGTCAACTCCAGGATGCTTCAAATGCCTACGCACACGAATCCACTGAGTCCAAACTAGAATGTGGATCCAGGATCACTGGCTCTTTCTATTTTTTAAAGGGACACCAGAAATTTGGACTTTTGCATGAAGTCTCCTGTTAAGTTTTACTTAAACATTTTTATTTGTCTTCCTTTTCATACGGGAAGGGCCAGTGAAAACACATTTGATAAACATGGCTCGGGGTCCCCCAGCTGGCCATGTCTGCCACACTGCTTCCCAACTCCAGTGTGCCTTGGCGGCCAATCAAGCTCCTGCCACGGAACACGTTTCCAGGGAAGAGGTCTCAGGAATAAAGGCACACTGTCCCCTCTGGCAGCATCCTGCCTGGCTCTCCCAGGAGCGGGTCTCCGGCTCCCTGCCAGACTCTTCTTTAAAGCAGATCTGCAGCGTAAGGACAGCAGCCACCAATCTTTTCCAATTGAGTTAATTCAATTCACTGTTATTAAAACCAGCTGGCTTTAGGTAGAGTCGTGTGCAGTCACTTTATCCCAGCGACTGGCTCACCGGAGCTTTTCCCTAACAGTTTGGGGAAGAGAGAACAGCAGAGGCCTGTCAGCCTGGCTGGCTACCCTTCCCACCCAGGACAGCCAAGTGTTGTATCATGTTTTTGATCTACACAAGGCTTATCATCCCCACACTTTAAAACAAGTTAAACAATCCCACCCCTGAAGGGAGAGAACACAGTGAAACCAATGAGGAAGAGAAGAAAGCAATACAACACTTCTCTGTGGTTGAACACCTGAATCTTCAATGATATCACTGTTTACAGTAGCAGACATTCTGTGTTTCATCAATTGTAAGACACGCTTCCCACCCCCCACGTTTTAACATGTCTGAAATAGGGATACATCTTATAATTGTGTGACGCAGTTTAATTGGCAGGATTTTTTTCTTTCATAGGTGCACTTAATATAACAGCATGTCTTTGAATCTTGAAATATGGGATGTTTCTGAGAGGAGGGGATAGTGAGAGTTACACAGACTCGAAGAAGAAGAAAAGTGGAATTTTGAGAAGAGGATCCATTTAGGCCATCATACAAGGTGGTGCTAGTGGTAAAGAACACCCCTGCCAATGCCGGAGACACAAGAGACACGGGTTCGATCCCTGGGTCGGGAAGATCCCCTAGGGGAGGGCACAGCAGCCCACTCCAGTGTTCTTGCCTGGAGAATCCCATGGACAGAGGAGCCTGGTGGGCTACAGTCCCCAGGGTAGCAGAGAGTTGGACACAACTGAAGTGACTGAGCATGCACGTATGTTCACTACTAATAAATCTGTGCTACAGGAATTAGGTGGGAGCTGAAGAACAGAAGCAAGATCTGGGAGCAGCTGACTGCCTTGGAACACCCAGAAGCTTCTTCTATCCCAATGGGTTCTGGACTGAGTTTTGAGTATCACTGAGCCCTGTCCTGTTACCCTCCAAATGGCTGCTTCATAAGCAGAGGCGCTTTGACAAGGGGCATCCTCCAGAGTAAACCAGAGTATATCCTTCTTTAAAATGACTCTGCCAATTTAGGAGGCCAATGTTACCCCCTACTCTGCCAAGGCAGTGACAGCCTTCAGAGAAATTAGATGAGTTTTTAAGCATGCTGTCAAGAAGATTCTTGAGCCAGAAGAGCTTGGGTTAGGTCATTTCAATTTTACTGGTTCTATTTTACAATCCCACAAACTCTACTCCCCACCCTAAATTCCAATCTTAATTAGGACGACTTCTTAAAACAGAGTTACACCAAAATGTTAAGTTTTGTCTCTGGGGAGTCCCTGATGAAGTTCTTTTAGAACATATACCCCCTATGCCTACTTACTAGAATCTGTTGGCGCCATTTGCTCCCAGGCAATATAGTGGACTGGCAAGTCATACATACACGGCATTTTAACTCTAATACACAAAATCAGGAAAGCCAGTTACTCTGAAGAGCACCCCCAAACATGTATCACTGATGAAACGTTAAGCTCTCTACAGTTACAACACAAACACTATCTGAAGGATTAAAAAGACTGTTATAACTGGTGTTGAATAAAGAAAGAACTAGAGTGACTAGACAAGTAAATATCACCACCACTCCTAGGAAACTCAAAGAAAGATCTTTCTCTCCCACAGTTAGCTTCTTGCCAAGAGCCATCAATGGGGAAATGACGCAAGAGAATGGAACAGAATGGCAGCTGAATGCCTTCTGCTCTGGCCACTACAAATCTCACTTGACTCAATGGTTAATCAAGCAGTTCAGTAATATGAAATCAGGGAGGACTTAGGAGGGCTCAGACAAGTTGGTAGAAGTCTGAAGGTACCACTTCATTCTGACCTGTTGACCCCAGTTAGAAATGTTTTAAAGAGTCTCTGAAGCTACGAAAGAGGAAAAGAAACTTTTCTTTACAAGTTTGCCTAGTTAATTCTCTATGCCAGTGGTGTTCAAGTGAGGTTCACCACGGGCTGTGCTATTTTGATCCACTGGAGAACAGGAAGAAAATACAAGAACATTTGATTTAAATGTATAACCATAATGTGTATCACACACACACACACATACACAGAAGCACAAGTGCTCAAAAGCATTTTAGTAACAGAAGTGTTTCTTTTTAAGTCTAAAGGCCACCGTTCTATCAAACTACACACTACTTTAATAAAATTCAATATTTAACACAATAATCACAAACATAAAATATTAAAACTAAACAAATAAAAGCATAATCATATTCATATATAGATACAGCAAAAGAGAGAAAATAATACAGAAAATGTGGTAAAATGTTAACATACAGTGAACGTGAGTGAAGAGTATAACGGGAATTCTTTGCACTATTTTTGCAACTTTTCCGCAAGTCTGAAATTACTGCAAAATTCAAAACATCAAATACACAAAATCTAAAAGTAAACCACTGAAAACTAAAGAGAAAACTACTCATTTGCAAAAGAATTACTCACTTCTTAAAAAGACTTTCTTCAAAATAGCAAATTGCTTCTAAAAAGCAGGTTTGGCAAACTACAGGCACTCGGCCAGCTGCCTGTTTTTATAAATAAAGTTTTATCCAAACACAGCCATAACCATTCATTTAAATATTGTCTGTGACTGCTTTGGAGCTAGGAAGGCAGAGTTGAGTAGTCTAGATAGGGATAGGCCTATAATAAGCCTCTAATACGTACTGCCTAGCCCTTTACAGAAAAAAAAATATGCCCATTCATGCTCTAACGTATTTGCTTATATAAAATCCCTTGAAAGAGGAGGTGGAGTCACTATGGAAAGGGACAGAAAAACTTAAAATCAAAGTATTACACACTACAGTAAGTCATCAAAAATTAACATTCAGTTCAGTCCAGTCGTGTCTGACTCTCTGCGAATCCATGAACCGCAGCAAGCCAGGCCTCCCTGTCCATCACCAACTCCCAAAGTTATTACACCCTACTAAAAATCACAAGTCAACAGGAAGACAATTTAAGCTACAAAATTCCTAACATTTTATATGAATACAACTATTTCTTCCTACCTTAATTAATACCCTGAATCTGTACAAGTGTTCCGTAGATCAGCTGTATCCTTTGATGACTAAGAAAACAATAAAAAATAGTAGTAGAAGAAAGTGCTGGAAAAGAACAAAGTTGTCAGGGCAGATGAGATGGGTCATCCAAAAGGAAAGAAACTTTCTTTCAAATTCACTGGATATTAGGACTGAGAAGCAGGAAGTCTGGGTAACAGTCTAGACAGAATAAACTAGCCAGCGACAACTCTTCCTTAATAAACAACTATACCCTAAAGATATGCTTTTAACTGGCTGTCGGATCACACAGAAAATCAACAAACTAAAGCCAACAAACATGTACAAACTTCTCCAGCACTAGAGACAATCAACTGCTAAAACTCTTACATACTGTTAAGGACAACTGCTCCTAGGAGCTACTAGTAAGATGCCACTGGTGCCCCAAACCTAAAGAGTAATTTCCCAGTCTGGCTCTGGTGTGTGGGTGACATCTGCTAGTCCAGTTCAGGGGAGCCAAACTCAAAGGAATAACTTCCTTCTGCTTAGGGGATAAACTCCAAATTCCTCAGCTTAGCACTCAAGGCTGTGCAGTCCAATTTCTCATTCCTTCTGAACATACTACCTGCTCTGGTCCA